TATGACCATAAAAGAAAAATATTACCTGAGCAAGCAAAAAGATTTGGAGGTTTTACTGTATTGGTCTAGACCTTTCATCCTGAGTTGGAATTATTAAAGCGTCCTATTTCAGAATTTGTTTGAAAAACGCCCTATCTCAGCTGCCGATACATTGAATTGGAGTTAGGGCGTTTTCGAAGCTGCATCCTTAGATAGGGCAATCTTTCACTCTGCTGATGATATATAATTAATAAAAAGCGGCTCGTCCCAAGGCTAATAAACTTTCTGCTTGATATCGGCGTCTTGACTCTTCTTCACTTACCGCTTTTAAAAAAGATATTACGAAATCGTGCTCTCTTCCCAAACTTAAAAAAATTCAAATTGGGAAAAAAGGTAGTACAAAGTTTGAAAATAAAACCAGGAAAATACTTTCAACTGCTTTTATTATTACAATTATTTTGTTTATTATCAAAACATATGCATATCGATGTATGTATTTCAGTTTTAATTTTGCTTATTTTTTAATGAATGTTTATTAAATATACAAGAAAATAATAATAATTCCAAATAAAGGATTTATAGCATTGCAAATTATAACAAAAAAAGAAAATACAAAATTCATTACTTAAAATTAATTACTTAATTAAATAGCAATTAATTGCACAAACAATGGAGAAAATGCACAATTTCCAACCATACTCGACTGTTGTTATTATCTTTTTATATTATTAGTGTCGTATAGTACTTTCAGTACGCATGGAAGACAATGAAAATAACGTACTATTGACTTTTTTTTTAATTTTTTTTTAACGGTTTTTGTTGTTTTTTCTGCTATTACAATATTTGCAACTTTCTGGAAAGCCATGCCACAAATATAATACATACATAAATTTCTCGAATTTTATTTAAATATTTATTTTTCTTTGCATAATAAATTAAAAAATTAAATAGATTTTCTTTAGGGGAGCAAACAAAAAAACCAGGCCAAAGACATAAAATTTACGCATTTTTCGGAATTTTTCTCTAAACATATGCTGGCCGGAAAGCTTTGTTATGAATTTGAGCAAATAGAGTTTCTGGGGGGTGGTGCAGCGCTGACATACAAATTTTAATTTATCTTCTTACTAACTCTCTCAACTGATTGTGTGCGTATGTGCAATACATGTGTATATATATTCATATATATGTATTTATGTGTGTGCGTGCTATTAATTTCATTTCATTTATTCAAATTAAATTTATTAATTTAAATAGGTGATTTGCCGCCGATGACCTAGCGGGGTTAAAACAGAAAATTACTTGAATTTTTTCATTGCAAATCGAACGCAGATGTGTATTTAGTCATAATATGGAGAATTACGCAAAATATGAATAGCAGGTCAAAGCAAACAAGAGAAGAATGACAGATGGTTCCATAAGAGAAGGACGTGAAGCGACGCAGGTATATAAAGGCGTTGCTACGGCACGAAAAAAGTTCCGTTGCGAATCGGAGTACAGAGATCAATTGCCTCAACAAGTATTTTAAGGTGCTTGTTGTAAATACAATATAGTTGTACTGTAAATTGAGCGTTTATTTAACAATCCAGTGAAACGAATCCGATTTGATTCGAAGGATAATCGCATCCCAAGGAGAAAATTTTGGAAGGTTGGATACAAGGGAGAGGCTGTTTGTTCATTGAGGGACGTGAAGCAGTCAGCTACGAAGGTTGAATAAAAGTCTCCTAGTTCCTCTATGTCTTTGGACATCAATATGTTAGTGGCTGCAATTTTATCCCAGCTTGATGCACATATTGCGCAATTGTCATCGCATATACAAGGGCAGGAAACACGCATGTCATCGCAGCTGGATGAAAAGATCACGCAGCTTCAGGAGAGTTTAATCAGAGACAACACGGAACTCAAGGCAAGATAGGATAAAATCGAAGAGAAACAGGAGCAAATTGAAGAGAAGCAGTATTAAATCGCAGAAAGACATAATAAAGTCGAGGAAAAAGTGGGTGAGCTAAAAGGTCGTCTCCGTGATTTGCAGTTGAATCGCCCAGCCAGTTCGCCGAACGCTCCCAAGGTAAAGACTCTATCCTTTGACGGCACTATTCCTTTTCAGGTCTTTAAGCTCCTGTTCGAAAAGACGCCTGTAGCAAACCGCTGAAGCATGGAGGATAAATCCGCTGCGCTATTCGTTGCATTAGGACCTGCAGCGAACATCATGCACACTATTCCTGACTGTGAAAGGAATATTTATGATGCGTTGTTTGGTGCCGTGGAAAGGCGTTATGGCAGCGAGCACCGACGGCAGATTCACTAGGTGGAGCTGGAGAACCGCTTCCAAAAATCCAACGAGATTCTGCAGGCATTCGTCTCAGAGATTGAAAGGTTGGCCCACTTGGCAAGTGGAGACGCATTTTGTGACCACCTCGAAAGGGTAAAATTGAAAGTTTCATCAACGGAATGCGTAGCCAACATTTTCTGAAACTGTCTCACATGCTCAGACATATAACGTTTATCGAGTGCAAGTGGAAACATAGGACGTGAGGAATGAAAGACTGAAAGCACTAAAGTTGATCGCAGGGAAAAATAGGCCTGGCGCAACCAAGAGGAAAACTAGGCCACATCGCACGCGAATGTAAAACAGGTTGCAATGGGTACGAAAATTCAATAGGTCGCAGCCGCAAAGCTGAAGTCGTTTAGTCGTCAGACTCCAGCCAGCGGGAAGGGGCGAGCGCCAGCTTCAGCACTTGGAAGACCCCATAATCTCCGTGTCACAAATTGGCCGGAAAGCGATAATGTGCATGAGCGAGTGTTGACTGTGGATACTGGAGCGTTACATTCCATTTTTCGACCTGATTTGACCACTTGGTATGTGACACCATTTCTTGGAGCAAAGTTAGACATTGTGGATAAAGTCACCATTGGTGTGGACTTCATGCTCGGCTAAAACTTGAAGAATGATCTGAAGAGAAGGATCCTTACATATCACGACAGGGAGTGCCTCTTAGGTTTGGTTACGATAACCAGTACTGCAGCAAACGGTTGCTCTTAAATGAAACGCAGCAGACTCCATCAATACCAGTTAGTTGGGCAGAGGTTCACAGAGATGAAGTTGGAGTTGTATGAACAGGTGATGGAAGCTGTTCAGAGGTAAAGGAAAAGCGTGCCCTTTCACCAACCCTTGCATACATATTGGCATACAAGTAGAAGCTTTATTTGTGTACTGCCGCGCCACGGTCTTTCGAAAGTTCTGTTCAAATTCTGTGTTACAAGCTTACAGAGATTTAAGTTACTTCGTAGTATAAAGTAGAGTTTTTTCGAAATTCCCGATTTGATGGAATAAATTGAATTTTCTCTTTCGGTATTTTTGTAAATTGTAAATTTTAAAGATAAAAGGAACGATGAAGGAGCAGCGTTTTCTCAATTGAAACCAACGGTTTCAGCAGTCCTTTGCATTCCAGTCGCAGCAGCAAATGTGGAAAGAACATTTTCCAAAACCAATTTGAATAAAACAAGAAATAAACTGGAAAATCCAGCACTCTCCGGTAATTTAAGGACTAAAGAGTTTTGGAAAAATGCTCCATTAAAAAAAAAAAATAATAATAATAAAAAAATTAGTGAAAATGAATTTTATTAAACATGTGATCTAAATGTTCCATTTTATAAAGTGTTTTTTTGTTTAGTTTAGTATAATTTAAACGGTTTATGATATTATATTTTAGGTTACTCGTTTTTTTTTATTTATGTTTAATAAAATTAAAAGGCCTTAATATTTTTAAAATACTCCTCATTTTTTGAAGGTTGATAGAAAATCCATTTCTTTAGAGGAATTTAACATTTTTTTGAAAAAAAAATCTGGCAACACTGTTGTGGTATAGAATCCCGCTTGAGTTTGCATATTTTGCCTTTAACGGATATTACTTTCCGCAAATAAACTTCGTTGTAGTATTTTTTTTTATCTTCAAACATTAGTGTTCAATGGTTTTTTCTATTCTTCAAAGTCACAAAGTCACTGTAAACTGTTAAGAATATTTTAACTTAAATTCAAAATATTTTTTCCTACAGGAAAAAGCCTCGAAAAACTCAAAAATTTCGAAATTTTTTCTGAGCGGTTAAAATTTTTATGAACGGGTTTTTCGAGTTTTTCCTTCCTAGTTATTCGCAAACAAAACCAAGCGTCCATTTGTGCAAATAAAATGAATAACGCTATCTTCTCAGCTGCACTCAATTGCCTTGTCGAGAGAATAAATATTTAAAGTGCCTCTCCTCAGCAACCCACACACAACCAGCTGCTGCTGGTGGTTCCAGTTTGCTGGAGATAAATTCCAAAGCAATCAATTGAATTAAGCTTCGGCTTTGGTCTGGCTTTTGTCGTATTGCTTTATTACAATGAGTACAATTTTTTTTTATTTTTGTTGGTTTACTCTTGTTCTGTGCGCCCCACACGTTAACTGAAGTATCCATATTTGTTACATGAAGCGATAATAACGAAAGAACGAAAAAAAATAAAGAGAAAAACAAATTAACAATAAAAGAAAAAAAATCAACATATGAAAAAATTAAAAGTATACGCTTTGCTGCTTATGTACACGCATACATTCGCACCTTTGCTTACATAAATAGGTTACGCAAATACTATGTACAACGTTACAAAGTGCATTAATTAGTTATTAAATTGCTTTTATAATTTCACTGATGTTTTCCACTTTCTTGTTTTATTTTTTTTCTTCAAATTTTTATATATAGTACTCGTTGACACAAATATATGTATATACATACATTTAAATATACGTATGTATGTATGTCTGATATCTTCCGCAAGACTGCTTGCAAAAATTGCTTTCCTCTTGAATCTACATCCTCTTCGTACGCTTTTGTCTAAGATCCATTAAAGCAAAAAAATAAAAAATAATAGGGGTATTCACGATCCGGTGCATACTGTCTAGCATGGTGCATAGAAAGCATAAATAGCATTATTGTTGTTGCTTCATGTGTTCAAACAACAACAAATATAAGCCAATCATGCTATTTATGCTATCTATTCACCATGCTATACAGTATGCACCGGATCGTGAATACCCCTAATAAAAATAAAAAAAATGCAACATCGTTACTTCCCCCAACACTTCAGCTCACACCCAGCATCGTCTTACAACAGCTCGCACTTGCGCGATCGCTTCACGCGCATCACCGGGCACAACACCGAACGTATGGCCTCATCGAACACCGTTTTCAAGCCCTTCTGCGTCAGCGCCGAACATTCGAGATACTTAACAGCACCAATCTCCTTCGCCATAGCCAAACCCTGTGGGTAGGTGATGGGTGTGAGTTTCTTCTCCTTCAGCTTCTCGATTGTGGCCTTATCGTCGCGCAAATCCAACTTGGTGCCCACCAAAATGATCGGCACATTGGGACAGTGATGACGTACCTCCGGATACCATTTGGCGCGTACATTCTCGAATGAGGCCGGATTTACCAAAGAGAAACAAATGAGAAAGACATCAGTCTGCGGGTAGGAGAGTGGACGCAAACGATCGTAATCCTCCTGACCGGCTGTATCCCAAAGACCCAAATTGATGGGTTTCGCATCGACCATCACATTGGCGGAGTAATTGTCAAATACGGTGGGTATATACTCGCCGGGAAAGGCATTTGTTGTGTAACTGATGAGCAGACAAGTCTTACCAACGGCACCATCGCCGACAACGACGCACTTGATGGCCTGCATTTTGCTTGATGGAGGGGGGAGACGGAGGTTCTTGGGTGTCGGGAGATTCGTTATGCGCTTCTATTGCGGATAATTTTTTTTGTTGTTCTGCTTTGCTTGATTAGGCGGTTATCTCAGCGAGAATTTTTGTTGCTCCTACCTTCTCTGCTATTGTTTTTGTTGTTGTGGTAGCACTTGCTGATTTTTGCCGATTAAATTCTAAGAATTTGCTGCTTGATATACCAGTTCTTTCGTCTTGTTATAACTATGTATTGTTGCGTTGGAGTTTACGTGTCGCGGCGACGTTGCTGCTGCTGCTGCTGCTGCTGCGGGTGGGGGGTTGTTCTACGTACGTAAAACTTCAGCTATTTGCTCCGATCGCTCGCTCGATTATTGGATTCTATAGAAGCGAATACACTTGCTTACGTATTTTTTTTTTAATATATATGTGTATGTGTGTTGGTATTAGGTCACTATTTTTTCGCTAACTAATTTTTTTTTTAATTTTTTATTGTACTTTTTCGCCGTTGCACTAATTAAAAGTCAACTGTGATTACACAACTATTAAAATTAAAATTAATAAAACTTTTGCTCCATACACCAGCGTTTCAACACAATTTCAATGTCAACAAATGCGCGTCACCACGCAGTTACCTTTAGTTTTTTTTTTTTATATTTGTTGCTTTTATTTAATTAGTTTCTTGAAAAGTTGCCAAATTTTTTTCTCATTAATTGTCTGGTGGCGTTTTATCCATTCACACACACGCACTCTGGTTTTATTTGTGTATTTCTTCTTAGTCTTTGCAGTGGTCGTGACGTTTGACAGCTCAGCTACAAAGTGACAGCCCGTAATACGAAAAAAAACACACCCAAACGCTTTGGAATCTCTGCTGAAACTAAGCAACAAATAATGCATACACTGTTGCTGTGCTACGTAAGGAGTCAGTATCTGCTCGAGCAGAAACCCTGGTAGTATGTGTAAATAGGTAGCGCTGTGAGATACACAGATACTTTTCCTCAATCGTTTGGCACAGTGTTGACTCGCTTCAGCCGCGATCAGCGTCGAACAGGTTCTTTCTTTTCTACCAATAGCTTGTGTGCTGCATTTTGATATCTTGGAGATCACTTTGGTCTCACTCTGTTTATGCAAGCACAGTGGTGGCTAATTAAATTAGTACGGTTGCACGGTTTTGTTGCTCAGCGAATGGAACCCTATAAGTACGAACGCTCTCTCCTGCTCTCTTTTATGCATGTGTGTAAAATACTTCGCCTACTCTATTAATCAAATTCATATTTCCGTTTTTGTTTTCTTTTTTTTTTTTGGAGCGAGTGTGAGCACAAGCCTTAATTCATTCGATGACTCTCAATAAATGTTTTTTAGCATACAATTTTTATAAGTACATGTATGTACTTGGATAAACATGTTTTTAGTTACAAATGATTGTGTACACATATGTACATAAGGGTGGTCCTAGAATTTAGGAAGGAAATTTTTACATCAGATTTCCTAAGCCTCAACCCATACGTCGATGGTACTATATTCAAAGATACCACATATCAATTTTGGTCCCGATTGGAGTCGGTTAAGACGTTTCGCCCGGGAGGCCAAGTTCCGATTCCTCTATGGAGACTCAAAAAATTAAAATTAAGTTTTTTCATCTAATGCCTAAAATCGATACTACCGTAGTCGAAGATATCACATATAAATTTTGTCTCTCATTTAAGTCGGTTAAGGCGTGTCGCACAGGGGTAGTATCGATTTTGGGTATTAGATGAAAAAAAAAATAATTTTAATTTTTTGAGTCTCCATAGAGGAATCTATATTTTGTCCACTGAGCGACAAACCTTAACCGTCTCCAATCGAGACCAAAATTTATATGTGATATCTGTGATCGTGGTATTACCGATTGAAGGGGTGAGACTGAAAAAAATCGTTCATTTGATTTTTACGGACCACCCTAATATACATAGGTATATAGGATATTTCTCACGCATACTAGTTTTTGTGTTGTTATTTTTCTATTTGTTTCTCTCATTACGTCGTCAGTGAGTCATGCAACATGGCACACAAGTGATCAGCGTCGGCACAGGTACACAGATGCCCTACATGAATTAACTTATAAGAAAGCAATCTTCCAGTTCACACAGCATACTATGCCATCATTCTTGTTGTTTACTTAAAAAATTTCTTCACATTTTTCACTTGACCTTGTTCGAGCATAATTTTTCCACTAGTAGTGTCTATGATTCGTAGTTGCTTTTGATCAATTACTGTCTGCTTAATTATTTGAATTCTAAAGAAAAATACTTTTCCCATTCACGCTTGCATATATGTATTTTTGTGAGCGAAAGCCATTTTTTACCTTTAATTTTTTCTCGCATGAGATTTTATTTTATTTTTGGCTTTACTGTTTAGAAAGCATATAAGCTCGTAAACTAAAATTTTTATCCGTGAATCCGTGCATCGATCCAAAAATCTCGAGAATCGACATTCGATATTTCCGCATTAAGCATATTGATCTTCGGTTTATACCAGGGAATCTATAAAATTTTAAGGAAATTTGAATTTGAGGCTGGTACAAAAAATGAAGGGGGCTTTGCACCTCCAAACAAAAAAAAAAAAAAAAAAAAATTCGATAAAATTTAACCATTTTCCTGAGTAGGGCTAGGATTTTTGAAATTTCTCTTGAATGCTTATATGTCTTAATACAGAAAAACCTTATCTCACATTTCTGTTTTTTTTT